CACACACACACACACACACACCCTCACTCACTCACTCATATTCTCGTACTTCAATCTTAGTGAGGACACTCATTGGCATAATGCATTTTCCAGGGCCTAACCCTGACCTCAAACATCACAACTAAATGCTTAACCCTAAGCCTAATTCAACCCCCAACCCTAAAACCAAGTTGTAGCCCTCAAATTAGCCTTCAAGAAGCACTCCAAAGTGAGGACTGGCCAAAATGTCCTCACTTTCATAAAATGTCTTCACTCTGTAGGGTCTATGCTTAAAATGGTCCTCACAAATATATAGAGTACACACACACACACCTTGAATTATATTTCCACTTCCAGCAGTCAGTCACAATCAGTTAGCTCCGACAGAGAAGCAGTGCAGGTATCAAAAGTGAATTTTAATGTCCTCAAAGTGCTGAATCATCCTGATGCTCATCTCACGAAACTCCACATCCTGCTGATCTCCTGCTCCCACCAGTCATCAGAAGAAACTGCTGACCTCTGCTGCTCGACACTTATCTTCCCCTGCGAGCATGTCTGTGTATCTGTTTGCATTTATTCTACAGTAAACTGCAGCATTGCATTACCGGTATTCACATGCACGGGTTCACATGAGGTCAGGGACCGTGGTTGATGCGCGTGTTGTGATTGGCAGGTGGCGGAGGAGCTGCAGAGTGGACCAATAAGCAATGAGGAGAAGGAGCTGCTGCACCTACTGACGTCACCACATCTGAAGGTAAACAGACTGTTAATGGCTTTTTTTTAAACCGCAATCCTAAAGTGGTACTTTGAAGAATAATTATCAACATTTTCATCAGATTAATGCTGTTTGAAAATGAAAAACTTTTAGACAACTAAAACGTACGTATTGAAAAAAAAAACTGAAGTTTGATCCTTCATGCAATTATGTCAAATGTTCATACATTTCATAACTCTGACTTCAGACTGTAAATGAATCCCTGAAACCTTTAACTTTGTGGCATCAGGCTGCTCTGTGTGTTCTCCAGCAGTTGAACGTCCACAATGTAATCTCAGCACGTCGCCTTTCTGTCCCATCAGGCGGTTCTCTCAGTGCATGACACTGTGGCTCAGAAGAACTTTGACCCTGTGCTGCCGCCGCTGCCCGATGACTTCGAGGATGAGCTGGAGGAGGAGTCAGTGAAGATTGTCAGACTGGTGAAGAACAAGGAGCCTCTGGTGAGTTGTGACAGAACAACAGGAGTGGAAATGAAAACATAAGAGCCTTGAGGAGAATAGAGTGGAAGAGGGAGGGATTCATTCTTTCTTTCTGTAAATTATTTTATTAATGCGTGTGTTCTTCAGGGAGCCACCATCAGGCGGGATGAAGCCACTGGAGTGGTGATGGTCGCTCGGATCATGAGAGGAGGTGCAGCTGATCGAAGTGGTAAGTTGAGCTTGTTCTGTTGATTTTTTTTTTCCTGGCACATTAATAGACTACCAGAACCTGTAGGCTCCAACCTGGTGACTGGAACACAGACAAGAGGTGGTGAAATCCATCCATTTGAAGACATCATAGCTGCGCTACTAGGCTGTTACATCTCGAAGGCTCCTTTAAACACTGTCGACAAATGCTTCCTTTCATCCCTGAGAAATGATCCAATCTATCCCAGGATTCAATGGGCTTCAATGGTGAACTGTTTTTCAAAGAGCTAATGGTGTCGGAAAGTGAAACGACATAAATGATGAAGCTTCAACTTCTACAAAGTTTTCATGCTTGGGGCATTTAACTTTCTCGTCGCGTCCAACTTCAGCTCTGTTGCTAGACATCAGCAACAAGGGTGGCAGGAGCTGGTGGCAGTTATCACGGAAATTCTCTATAGACCAGACCCTCTGATTTCAGTTCTGACTTGGAAGAAGGTGGTCTTTGTTGGCCGGGTAGACGGTGGTGTCCGAAGGATGCAGCCTCTGAATTGAGACACTCTCTCTTTGGTTTAGTCTCTCCTCTATTCATCCTTACATTATGGTTTACTTTTAAAAGGTTATAACAGTAATCATCAGTATGTTATTTTCAGGCTTGTGCACAAAAACAGGTTAAATAAGGCAACATTAGCAGTCAACTTAAAGATTCACACCCTGTGACAACCGCTCCAGCTTTGTTGCTCGGTTTTACCCTCTTTAAATTTCAGTCTCTCACGTGTGCAAATAATTAGCAATGTTAATGTTTAAAGATAAGTTTTAGAGACATTTCTGCTGTTGGGATGAAAAGCAGAAATGTATGTATGTATGGATACGAGCCAGGACACTGCAGTGATGTTGCACAGCCCTGAGGCAAACTGAGCCACTGTGACGCCCCGAGAGGCTGCTGGTTTTTACAGCAGTGTGACGGCATTTTTCTTCTTGCAACTGGAAAAATGAAGGAAACTGTTCCATGAAAAATGTGCATGTATGAAAGGGGCAACAAATCAAAACCGGATTCTCTGATGAGGTGAGATCAAGGCCTCAGCGTGAGACGCATCGCACGACTGCTGCTTAAACCTAAAGCTCCTCACGAGTCCCCAGACTCTCATTCATACATATAGACTCAGCAATGATCCTTTCATGTGCGTTACCATGGAAATATCAGCCACATGCAGGTGTGTGTATATATATTTGTTAGTTGGCATTAGAAGCATTCATGCTGGGAAACCAAACTGATCGGTGTCCACATCTATTAATCATTAATACCCTTCTCTGTTTTCTTGTGACAGTGCTGGAAAAGCTCTCGTAGGTGTGGAGACAGAACCTGTAGATTTCAGAAGCAAGCCTGGCCTCTGTGCACGTCTCCTAGATGCATGCATTATATGATTGCACCATAGTGTGTCTGCGATCGTGAGGGAGAAGCATATTGATCTTACTCCTTTCAGCCTCTGGTTTCTCTGTTGTGGCTGCAGCAGGGAAGATCAGAGCTGAGGATGGAGGCAGCCTCTATCAGTGGATCTGACAACAGCATTACGATACGGCTGATAAACCCCAATGACCTGGAAAACGCTGTGATGGTCATTGATGTTTCTGTTCTTTTCGTCTTCATCTTGTCTCCCCTCCACACAGGTTTGGTCCATGTAGGAGATGAACTCAGGGAGGTCAACGGAGTCTCTGTGATTCACAAGAGACCTGATGAGATCAGTCAGCTGCTGGTAAGACGGAATCACTGTACACTGCAGAATGAATGCAGACTGATGTTTGAGAATGGCACAAGTACATGAACAAGTAAAATCCATCTCAGAGTGACAAATATATCTGTGGTTTATTTTTTGAATATATGAGTCTGAACTCACAATCTTCCCTCTGTCTCATCTATTTGTGATCTAGTCCCAGTCCCAGGGCTCCATCACTCTCAAGATAATCCCTGCCATTAAGGAAGAGGACCGACTGAAGGAGAGCAAGGTGAGGCAAAGCAGGAGTCACTGTGCATGAGTTGTTACACTTTTCTTACACAGTTTGAAGGGAAACAACAGAACGCAGCTCATTATTAGCTTCACGCACACCTCCAGTGGGACACATGAACAGCTTCCTCCCTGTTTGTACAATAATAATAATAAATAGGTACACATGGTGCTTCCCCCCCCACAATTCTCACAAAGCCTATACATTTGCGTCCAGGTGTATATGAGAGCCTTGTTTGACTACATCCCGCTGGAGGACAAGGCCACACCCTGCCAAGAGGCGGGACTTCCCTTCAAACGAGGAGACATCCTGCAGGTCGTGACGCAGGACGACCCCACGTGGTGGCAGGCCAAACGTGTGGGAGACAGCAACCTGCGGGCCGGACTCGTCCCGTCCAAACAGTTCCAAGAGAGGTGAAGTCAAATCATGTAAAAATGTACTCCCTCTGATGTAAACTGGGGAAACGATTCACTGACACACTGCTGATATTTATTTCATCCAGCCATTCGTAATCTTTTAAATCCACATCATTCATGTGTTCCACTTTGAGGGGTCAACTATGATTAGATGGTGCATCAAAGCAGTGAGAGTGTGTGTGTGTGTGTGTGTGTGGGGGGGGGAATAAATCGAAACGCAGCCTTGAATAGGCACATGCTGATACCACAAGTGTCATAATCTGTCAGTAAGATGATCCCAGCAGGCCGAGAGATGCCTGCCAAACACTGCAGAGTCTGTTGGATTAATATCCACAGCTTGAACACAGAGAGACACAGGTCAGAGGAGTAAACCGAGCTCTGTGAAGCCTAAACAGAGAGTTTGTAGGTTCAATTTAAAGCAAAGTAACAAAGACCTGTTGATACTGTGGGTTCCTGCTGCACCCTGAATGACAAAGATGTCTTCATATGCACTGAGCAAATAAGGAAAATGACCCACATGTCTGTGCTCGGGGGCCAAATCGTATAATCCATCCAGGTGTGTTGTATGTGCTTCTGCCTGTCTGTCATGTTTAAATCTTTTAGTCCACCTGTCTGACATTTCCTTCAATCCTTTTGCTCACTGACAATTCTCTCCCTGCCTCCGTCCTCTCTGGGTTTTTGTTCGGCTGCACATTCCTCCAGGCGACTGGCCTACAGGATGAAAATGGGCACGCTCCCGAATCCAAAATCCCCTAAAAAGCCCGCCTGTAAGTTTTTTGCTTGCCATGATTCCTCTGCACCATTTCATAATTACAGTCAACCACCTGTGCCATCGCTCACTGTCACTTCTCCCGTGTCTACTTACGCACACAGTCAGTGTCATTACAGGACAATAATTCCTCCTCTGGATGAATGCAGCAGTGTTTTCATTGACATTTATTGACCTTTTTCGAGGGTAATTGGCATTCTCAGAGGCATTAGTATTCATTGTCTGTCCTCTCCGTGCTGCCCTGCCAGCATGTTTTTAAAAAGGAGGAGGGGGAGATGGTGGAGCACAGAGACGGAGAGAGGGATCATAGATATGAATTAATCTCTGTCATGTTTTGGTCCATCTGGTCAGCGAGCGAGCCACGAGTTCAGCTTAAGTAGATCAGACAGCGTCACATCAGGCAACAGTACATTGCGCTTCTCGCTTTCTCACTTGATGCTATAGAGGTGGTGTTTAAACAGACAGGTGAGTGTGTAATATGAGTGGTGGCTCTTAGTGGCGCATAAGCTGCAGGCGATCCGATTAGGCCTGAGCCACGGGGACACAACAAGAGCTTAGCAATATGGCAGCTAGCCGTGCTCTGCCACGCAGCAGCGAGCCCGCGAGGACTTCTGTCTCAGCCTCCCTCCGTGCTCCTCCAGCTCTCTGATTAATTCCCCTAAATCCCAGCGGGGGCCTTTAAATGTGGGTCTCCCCCTCTCACATCAGTGACGTCACCCTGACAACTGTACACACGATTTTTATATTTAGAATCTATAAATCCTTGGATGCTGTGCTTTCATAACATTTCCAGAAATGTGTTTTACACAGAGCTACTGCCCATTTATCTATTCTGATGATAATGTTTTACACTTTCCTCTTCCCTGATGCAAACTGCAGACGACCAAGGATGTGATAAAGGTGGGTACATGTGCAGCCATGAACATGAATTATCCAGTAAATACATACACGCACAAAATGCATACAACATATGGCCATGGAGGCCTCGGTGTGTGTGTGTGTGTGTGT